TGAGCTTAGTATGTAACGCAGAGGCACCATTACCAAGATAGCAGCAAAAATCAGCTCAAATACTTTTTGATTAATGATTTTTGGGGCTGAGACCTGTTTTTTTCAGCGATTGAGCTGGCATACAATTCCTAATCAAATTATAGACAAGTTTCTGAATATGTTATGCGACATTGCAATACGACAGGTTAGGTGATTTTAATATCATGCTAATTCTCTAATTTTTTTAATTGGGTAGTTCAGGTTTGCCACACTGAGCTTGTGTATACTTCCGCTGTTAATAACCTTGTTCCCGTGATCATAGAAAGCGGTAACTCCTTCTGAAAAAATTTCGCTGCGGAACGTTGCTGGCATTATTCTGTGTTGCAGAAACCGGGATGGCTGAACTTGCTATTACCCCTGAAGAGCAAGATAACATATATAAAGCTGCTCACCGAATAATCGCACATATTCTTAAATGTTTTCCCATGTGAGTTTTTGTTTGTTTTTACGTAGGCAGTCGTGCAGTATTTTCTTATTCGCTTTGTATAGTTTATATGAAGATTGTGCTCCTATCTACAGGTCAAATAAAGTTCTTCTTCGAGTTCTTCGCATTGGTGTTCCACACATCACTCATGATAGTCATCGGTTCATCGGCTACATCAGGAATCTTATTCAATGTCTTGAGTATGCTGAACAGCTCCGCGCAGATATTTGGGACTTGATAGTTGATCAGATGATTGTATGCGATGTGAGCAAGTTTTCTCTTTTTGATATTTCTGAATTTTGTTGAATGTATCATTTTTTAGAATATGTTAACAAAGATGGAGTGCAGGGGAAAGAAGTTTACTGCGGATGTTACAATTTTTGCAATGGTAGCCCTTATAACCTTTGTATTATATTTTTCCAAGATATCTTTATAAGTTTTCCTCTTATATCCAGGCTTTTAACTTACTCAGAAGCTGTACAATGCTGTCTTTTAAGGATGAGGACGAAAGAGACGCAGCAGAGGAGGGTGAGGAGAGCGAGCACATAGCAAAATTGGATGGAGGATTACGAGACGTACTTCATTACATCGCAGCCAAACATAATATCGAAGCTGAGCATGGTGGTATGTTCGTATTAAAATCTGTAGCATTCATTTATCGAGAAAATCGCTCCTTATTTTTTTTTGGTTAGTATTAAATTGAGATTTTGAGATTTGAACTGGTTACACATGAGCAATGGTTCAACTGCGGAGGAATTATTCAAAATATTTCTCTCGTTACTGGAAACTCGTATGCTTCTCTCCGTTCATGTCCGTTACACCTCGTTTCTTTGGTTGTATATTTGCAGTATGGACGAGGTAAGTGAAAAAAACTTTTGAACATTAGTAAGACTCACTTTTCCTTCGAACATTTATCTAGACATATGCTACTCGCTTGTTGGATCTTCTCTGGTCCGTCATCGTACGTCCTCATGTTTCACAGGCTGATATAGCTAAAGCACAAGGAGCTGCAGCGTATTTGGCCGCGTTTCTTGCCAGAGCAGAATATCTAGACATAAAGTAAGTGTCGCATGCTATGATACATTTATAAGTTTAACTATCTATTTTTCATGAAGAGCTGCCATGAGTTGGATGTTCCGTATCGTCCAGTGGTGTTTGCAATATATAGATAATTGCGGAATTGGTTCGAAACGAGTTAGTTGACCTTT